GTAGCAGAGTAACAGTCATGAGCCAGAAAGCCAAGTGAGGGCATGGGACTGGCACAAGATTTGAACATTTTTTGTTTGTTTGTTTGTTTGTTTTTAGGTCCGGTCGTGGGGCCTGAACTCTGGGCCTGTGCGCTGTCCCTCAGCTCTTCAGCTCAAGGCTAGCGCTCTACCACTTGAGCCACAGTGCCACTTCCAGCTTTTTTCTTTTTGCTTATGTGGTGCTGAGGAATCAAACCCAAGGCCTCTGGCATGCAAGGCATGCGCTCTACCACTGAGCCACCTTCCCAGCTCAAGAATTGAACATTTTTATTAACCTTTTTTTTTTTTTTTGCTGGTCATGGGGCCTGAACTCTGGGCCTGGGCACTGTCCTTCAGCTCTTCAGCTCAAGGCTACACAAGGCTGGTGCTCTACCACTTGAGGCATAGCGCCATTTTCTGCTTATGTGGTGCTGAAAAATGGAACCCAGGGCCTCATGCATGCAAGGCAAGCACTCTACCACTGAGCCACCTTCCCAGCCCCCCCCCTTTTTTTTAAATCAATTCGCTTCTTTTTCCACCCTCACTAGAGACTATTATTTTGTTAATCACATGAATTCCAGATTCATCCAAACTGTGGTTTTATGTTTTGGGATTTTTTTTGGTGGTTGTGGGGTGTGGGATGGTCTGGGGCTTGGGCACTATCCCTCAGTTCTTCAGCTCAAGGCTAGCACTCTATCACTTGAGCCACAGCACCACGTCCGGTTTTCTGGTGGTTTAGTGGAGATAAGAGTCTCATGGTCTTTCCTGCCCAGGCTGGCTTTGAACAGCAATTCTCAGATCTCAGCTGCCTGAGTAGCTAGGATTATAGGCGTGAGCCACCAACACCTGGCTCTGATTTTATGTTTTATTCAAAGAAATTTTATTGCAAAAATTTAACATTTGAATCAAGTATTTTTCTCTCATGGGTTATTCATTTTGCATCTTTCAGAAACAAACAAATCAATCTTCCTCAGCTATCTTCTCAAAGTTTGGCTTTACGTATTTAGGTTTTTATTGCACATGTGGCGATCTGAAAACTGTTTATAGTTTCTGTTACCAAGCTATGACTCTGAGCTCGCTGGGGTGCACCTCCTAATGGTATCCCCTTAAGGAACAATGAGAAGTACTGTCTAGGTTCCAAGTATAACCACTTTGCTGAGATATACCAAGTCATATATTAATGATTCCTACTATTTCTTTTTGTTGTTGTTGTTGGTCATGGGGACTGAAATCTGGGCCTGGGCACTATCTCTCAGCTCTTCAGCTCAAGGCTAGCACTCTACCACTTGAGCCACAGCACCACTTCTGGCTTTTCCTGCTTATTTTGTGCTGAGGAATTGAATCCAAAGCCTCATGCATGCAAGGCAAGCACTGTACCAATGAGCCACCTTCCCAGCCCCCTTACATATTTCTGTCTGTATCTTTCAGTGGTATTCTGAAGTCTTCATCATGAGAACTGTTAAAATAGATACTTGGAGAGTTAGATACCTAGCTTGTCAATACCTTAAAAATCGCTCCCAAGGGGCTGGGAAGGTGGCTCAGTGGTAAAGCGCTTGCCTTACATGCATGAGGCCCTGGGTTCGATTCCTCAGCACCACATAAGCAAAAAGAAAAAAGCCTAAGAGGCGCTGTGGCTCAAGTGGTAGAGCACTAGCCTTAAGCTGAAGAGCTGAGGGACAGCGTTCAGGCCCCACGACCGGACCCCCCGAAAAAAAAAATCACTCCCAAACAGAATATTTACATTATTACTTTTGTCAGATACAATAAATGGAAAAATTTTCTTCCCTAGGTAACAAATTTATCTTATACTTCATAAGATGAAAAATAAACCAAGTATGGGTACATATCTGTAATTCCTAGCACTCAGGAGACAGAGGCAGCCTTAGGATCACAAGTTCAAGGGCAGCCTGGACTACATTTTGAGTTGCCAGCCACCTTTAGTTTTATAACAAGATTGCTTAAAAAAGACAGGGGGTTAGAAGTATGGCAGAGTTAGTAGTGCACTAAGCAATAAGTGAAAATGTCAGGTACTGAGTTCGAGTCCCAGTCTGAGACCTAAAAAAAAGAGAAAGAAACAAAACCAAAATTTTCTTTAAGTTAAAAAGATACATTTTTTAATATATAAATTTAGAGAATTTATTTTGAAGTAATAAAAACTCCAGAATTTGATTCAAGTCTACGTATTTCTTCTTCTTCTTCTTCTTTTTTGTTTTCTTGAGACAGGATGTCCTGATGTTGCTCAGAATAGCCTTGAACTCACAATCCTATGCCTCAACCTCCTGAGCAGGTAGAATTACAGGCATCTAGCTGTTTTTATGAAAAAGAGAGCATTATGGAACATTATGGGAGATGATATCTTCCATAATTATTCACTCTGATTGTCTTAAAGGGAAAGGGCATTAACCAGTTAGGGCTAGAAACAGCATTATTGTTGTCTGTGTATATCTTTATATTGTTCAAGTAGGTCATTCTTTTGTAATTTAAAATAATCCAGTAAAAATTTTTAAAGTTTCTTAAGTTGTTGACATATAATAAGACCTCTTCCTTTGAATATTTGTCTTTGTCATTAATGCCAGTTACCCTTTTACAAACATAAACAAATCTTTACTGCCTGTAGTATAAATCCCTAAACTGGGAAAGAGCACTGAAGTATGATTAGAGGCTATCATGGATACCAAAATGAAAGTAAGGGTAATAAGAGAAGTCAGTTTCTTTTCCAGATAACTATGGTATACTAGAAGATAAAATGACAATTGGGTGAGTTAAATAATTCTGTGTTTGCATTCTAGCATTGCCATTTACCCTGAGCAAGGTATTTATCCTTTTTCTAAGAGTCACAGTTCTGATTCAATAAACAGCTAATAATACTGACCTTTACATATGCTATTACCATATATAATATATCTGCCCATACAGCAAGGTAGTAGACACTGAACAGATGGATTGTTATTATGACAATCTTAAGAACAGCATTTCAAGACCCTTGTGATCTGTACCTAGTTATTGATCACCAATATAGTTTCCATTTATTTATGGCTTGCTACAGGGCCAAATAGCGAGGAATGCAACACAGTCAATTAATTCTGTTACATGTTTGAATCAATTTTATTTTGATGATTAAAAGCTGAAACTTAAAAATTAGCAAATATCTTAATTTATTATATGGTCACCTATTTTGGTGTTATAACTGTTCTAAGATTATAAACTTAAGTTTTTTGGAGAAATGGTACTAGAATTTGAATTCATGGCCTTGTGCTTATAGGCACTCTACCACTTGAACCACAAACATAGCCCTTTTTGCTTTAGATTTTTTCAAATAGGATTACTCTGCCTGGGATAGCATGGGCTGTGATTCTCTTATTTATGCTTCCTGTGTAGCTGAGATGACAGACATGAAACAACATTGTCAGCTTTTTATATTGGTTGAGATGGGGGTGGTTGTGCAAGACTTTTGAGGATATTTTTTTTGCTTAAGCTGGCCTTGAAACAGTGAACTTCCAAATCAGCTCTCAAGTAGCTAGGATTACAGGGTTGAATCACTGCTTCAGCTTAAATGTTAATGTTAAATTTTGAACCCCAGATTGTAGGAGTCCAAAGCCAGTGAATAACCCTTGCCACTTTAGACACCAACCTATTTGTAATACATTCTTTACCACTATACTTTCTCAGCCAACTCACACTCTGTTTGTTTCAATACAACTGTCACATCTCACAATTAGTGATATTTATTACGTGTAATTTATTATTTTGTGTAGTCCATCAAATTAGACAGCAACATCCTGCTACATCACATCTAAATGATTCCCCTCCCCACTTGGAATTGCTTTTTCCATCCCTACCCAAAATGACTTTAATAGAGCTTTTTATAAAACAGAACATTTTCCTTTTCCAAGTCCCAATAGACTGAACTATCTTTCAACACAAGTGCTTAAAAATAGTGGAAGAGCCTGTAATTCTAGCTACTCAGTACACTGTGATCTGAGGATTGTGGTTTGAAGTCAGCCAGAGCAGGAAAGCCTATGAGATTCTTATCTCCAACTAGCTGCATATTCATATGCAGCACACGCACACGCACACGCACACACACACACACACACACACACACACACACACACACAGAGCCTGGAGCTATGGCTCAAATGCTAAGAGTGCTAGTCTTGAGCAAAAAAAAGCTCAAATATAGAACCTATGCCCTGAGTTCAAGCGCCAGGACCAAGACCAGGAAAAATATGCAAAAAATATATATACTGGTAGAACACCAGAAGTCTGCATTTTCAAATCACTTTTCAAAGAAGCAAGGCATGATGACAATGAATCATAATAAAACCCCAAATATTAAAGGACACACATCTCTGGCACAGGTACCTTGGAAACAGCAACAGGAACACATGTAGCATGTGGCAGTATTATGACTGCAGAATATATATATATATATATATATATATATATAATATATGAAAAGAATGAATATTAAGCAGAAGCTGTTTCATCTCTGATTCTGTTCTGACTTAGTTTTCACAGGCTGGGAAAGGGAATTTAATAGCTGTGGACAATGTAAAGAGAGAAATCTACCAGTTTTAAGAGATGGTATCTGTCTTGAACCATCTTGACCTTAAGACTACTGTCCTTTTATTTTCATAGAGGGTAGAACCAACAGGTTGTTTAATTTCTAACTTAAGTAAATATGGAAGCGTGTGCTTTATTTCTGTAAGATGATGCTTCAGGATATAATTTCTCATTACTAATGTAAGCCTTACCCAATCTCCCTCATCTTGATTGGGATCAGCTCCTCCCCTCCAGATCTGAGTATACATTTTAATAAAGCAAGCTTCCTTTTAATCAATAAGGATATTACATTAGTACATGTTAAAATATATTCTCCCCTTTACATTGCCCCCAAAAACACTCCTGGGAAGAATGTGTGGTGAGGGGAGAATATACCTCTTGAAGATTTCTGGTTTTACTCCTTCCTCTCTTCTTACCGTTACTAAACATCGACACATGTTTGCGTAAGCCACGGAGAAACTGGGTTCATCAATAGCCTTCTCAAAGACCAGGTCAATGACTCCTTTCAGCCGCTCCTCAGTGTCCACAGTAAGTCCTGATACTTGCTTCATCAGTTGGTTGAACATTTGTGGTGTCAATTTATTTAAGATACTTCGAACTTTTCTAAAAAGTTCCTAGAAGGGTCACAATAAACAAACAATTTATAAGTTTGACTACACAAAATATTTACAAGGATTTTGAATCAGAAAGGCAAATCCATCAATTCAAACAACTAACTTAAAAAGTACCACCTTCTTTTTAACTATTAATGACAATTCTAAAACCTAAGTACTACAAACATCTTCAAGTATAGGAATGTCATCTAGAATACTTTCTTTCATGGTCCTTCATTTGATAACTCCATCTAATTTGTTACTATTTAGGGTAAGAAAAAAGATTTTTGGCAAAATAATTTGTCATAAACCATTACAGAAAACAACTTTAGCTAGGCAAGGTGACTAATACTTATATCCTAGTTACTGGAAGGCAGAAATCAGAAGGATTAAGGTTCAAGTCAGTCAAGGCATTAAAAAAAAAAGTTAGTAAAACTTTATCTTAACCTAGTGGGGTTGGCATTGTGGCATGCATCTGTCAACCTAACTATGCAGGAAACATACATAGGAGGATGGCAACCTAAGTTTGCTCAAGTATACGCAAATGAAAGCAAAAGGTTTAGGGTTGTAGCTCAACTTGTAGAGCCCCTGGAATTGAACAACAACAACAAAAATATTTCAAATATGCAAATATAGGAATTGGTTTAAATTTCAGCTCATATAAACTATGGTAGGAAACACTAGACAAAGAAAGGAGTTATAGAACTTGCCCTTATGTTAGGAATAGAAGGGACCAGCCTAAGCTAGAAAAGATATCACAACTTAGCAGTAAAATAAAATACTTAATATTTTCCTTAAGATTAATAACGAAGTAAAATGTCTACTCTTGCCATTTCAACTCAGTATCATATAGAGGTCCAAATTAGTGCAATAAGGTAAAAAGAAATAACCAATAGGGACATAAATTGAAAAAGATGGAAACTTTATTTACAGATAATGCAATTATTTATATAGAAAAATCAGTCAACAAAAAGAACTATTGTAGGCTATGTCAAAATGTAAATGTTAATTGAATTTTATAATAGCAATAAATAATTAAAATACTTTTTAAAGTATCATTTACTGTATCATCAAAACACAAGAAATATTTAGTTTAAAATCTAATAAAATAGCTACAGGGGCTACATGATGAACACTATAGATCACGGGTTAAAAAAACCTAAAAAGAACTGAATAAATGGAGATATATATCATCTTTGTTACTTTTCCTCAACATGCTCTATACATTTAATATAATATCCATCCAAGCCTAGTTGGGTACTTGTGTTTAGTTCTTGAAAGAAATAACAAATACATTCAAAAATTTATATAAATAGACAAAATAGTTACAAGAGTCTAAATGATTCTGAAGAAAAATGAAATTGAGAAACACATACAAAAAAAGAAGTTGGGGAATGTTAAGTATACAGTCACTATTTTAAAAATGTGGTATTGGGGCTGGGAAGGTGGCTCAGTGGTAGAGCGCTTGCCTTGCATGCATGAGGCCCTGGGTTCGATTCCTCAGCACCACATAAGCAAAAAGAAAAAAGCCGGAAGTGGTGCTGTGGCTAAAGTGGTAGAGTGCTAGCCTTGAGCTGAAGGGCTGAGGGACAGTGCCCAGGCCCAGAGTTCAGGCCCCACAATCAGACCAAAATAAACAAACAAACAAATAAATAAATAAAAATGTGGTATTGTTTGGTAGATAGACATATAACACAGTCTTTTCAACAAACTGTGGGGAAACAAGTGGATATTCAAAGAAAGAAAGAAAGAAAGAGAGAGAGAGAGAGAAAGGAAGGAAGGAAGGAAGGAAGGAAGGAAGGAAGGAGCACTGGCGGCTCACGCCTGTAATCCTAGCTACTCGCCTGTAATCCTAGCTACTCAGGAGGCTGAGATCTGAGGATTATGGTTCAAAGCCAGCCTGGGCAGGAAAGTCTGTGAAACTCTAATCTTCAATAAACCACTAGAAAACCAGAAGTGGCGCTGTGGCTCAAGTGGTAGAGCGCTCGCCTTGAGCTGAAGAGCGCAGGGACAGAGCCCAGGCCCAGCCAGAGTTCAAGCCCCACGACCAACCAAAAAAAAAAAAAAAAAAGAAAGAAAGGAGAGCTGGGGGCTCAGTGGTAGACTGCTTGCTTGGGAATGCATGAGACCCTGGGTTCAATTCCTTAGCCCCACAAAAGCAGAAAAAGCAGCAAGTGTTGCTGTGGCTCAAATGGTAGAGCACTAGCTTTGAGCCTTGAGCTGAGGGACAGCACCCAGGCCCAGAGTTCAGGCTCCACAACCAACCAAAAAAAAAAAGGATCCTTGATGCTTATCTAACAACTATGGATCACCAAACTTGACACAAAACTGAAACATATAGCATTCAAGAGGCAGAAGCAAGAGGATGGCCAGTTTGAAGCTAGACAGTAAGAACCTGTCTCACAAAAGAATAAAAGCTTCTTTTAAAAAAAATTGGGGGGGTAGGATTGAACTTGGGGTATGGGTACTGAGCTTCTTTTGCTCAAGGCATTCTAGCACTTGAAATACAGATCCACTGCCAGCTTTTTTAGTAATTTATTAGTGATAAGATCCTCACAGACTTTCCTGTCTGGGCTAGCTTTGAACTGCAATCCTTAAATCTCAACATCCTGAGCAACTAGGGTTACAGGCACGAGCCAACAGAGCCTGGCTGAAAGTTTTTTTTTTTTGGTCAGTCATGGGCCTGAACTCTGGGCCTGGGCACTGTCCCTCAGCTCAAGGCAAACACTCTACTGCGTAAGCCACAGTGCCACTTCTGGCTTTTTCTGCTTATGTGGTGCTAAGAAATCGAACCCAGGGCCTCATGCATGCAAGGCAAGCACTCTACCACTAAGCTACCTTCCACCTTCCCAGCCCTGAAAATATTTTTTATTCTTGAGGTTATGAGACAACTTCTTAGAAATGACAGCTAGGAGTTGGGGGTAGGTGGTGGGAAGGGATGTAGCTGAGGAGTTGGGAGGGAAGGGATGGTAAGGGAAAAACAAAGGAGGAGGCAACATTGCTGGATAAGAAATGTACTCATTACCTTGCTCATGTAATTGTAACCCCTTTGTACAGTATCTTCACAATAAAAAACTTAATAAAAAAAAAAAGAAATGACAGCTAGAATTACAGGTATGAGCCACCAGCTCCTGGCTGAAAAAAAGCTTTTTATTCTTGGTTTATGAGACAACTTCTTAGAAATGATAGCAAAAGTACAACCCATAAAGAATTGATAAACTAAATATAACCAAAATGAAATGCTTCCATTCTGCCAAAGATACTCATAAAAAAAAAGACAAAGCATGGGATGAAAGGGCACTTTTTCCACATAGACATTTCATGAAGAATTTGTATCTAGAATATATAAAGATACTAAAACAGAATCAATTAATAAAAAAATATACCACTCAATAAAAAAGGGCAAAAGACATGAACAAAACTTTACCGTAGATTGCAAGTATTCACAAGTATTGAAAATAAGCACACAGAAGATGTTTAAAATCATTAGTTACTTAGGAACTGCAAATTAAAAACAAGATCAACAGAATGGCTGAGATTAAACAGCACAAAAGAGCAAATGGTGGGGAACATGAGAGAGCAACTGAATATACATATACTGCCACAATGCAAAGCACTTTGTAAAATACTTTATTATGTTTACCAAAAGATGTTCCAAATCCATGGCTAGGAATTTACCCAGAAAAACAAATCCTGTATCTGAAAGATTATGGCAATTTTATTGATAACTGACAAAACTTGTAAACTATCTGAAGAATGGATGAACAAATTAATACAGGGCAATAAAAAAAAAACCCACCAAAACCATTTAGTAAGGCACAGTCATAAATGTATGATAATCCCAGTATTCAGGTGAGGAAGGTAGGAGAATATTCAGTTTTCAGGCCAGCTTGTAATACATAGCATGACCCTGTCTCAAAACAACAGTCAAATGAGAATCTTTATTTATTTATTTATTTATTTTTGGTTGGTCCTGGGGCCTGAACTGAGAGCCTGGGCACTGTCCCTCAGCTCTTCAACTCAAGGCAAGTGTTCTACCACTTGAGCCACAATGCCACTTCTGGCTTTTTCTGCTTATGTGGTACTGCGGAATCGAACCAAGGGTCTCATGCATGCATGGTTATAATGACTGAATTTATACTATTTTATGGAAAGGCAATACTGTAATGAAAGAGAACTGACTGGTGCTTACAGACAGACAGTGGGAGGAAGGGAGGCATAAGAGCAACATGGGACAAGGAAATTGTTAGGAGAGGATAGATTTAATGCATGATGTGCCTGCTGTGGTAGTCACGTGACGGTGTATCTTTCAATTTTACTATAAAAGTAAGGTTTTACCATAAAGGTATTGTATATCAATAAATTCAAGTTGCAAATATCTAAGATACCATGATGTGAATGCAAAAATAAGCCTTATAAAAGTTCAAATTTCTTCCAAAAAAAAAAATTTTTTTTTGGTCTGGTCGTGGGGCCTGAAAGCTGGGCCTTGGCGCTGTCCCTCAGCTTTTCAGCTCAAGGCTAGCACTCTACCACTTGAGCCACAGCACCACTTCTGACGTTTTTCTTTTTGATTATGTGGTGCTGAGGAATCGAACCCAGGGCCTAAGGCATGTAAGGCAAGCGCTCTACCACTGAGCCACCTTCCCAGCTTTCTTCAAAAATTTTGATTGTAATATAAAGGTCTTTTTTTTTCAGTACTGGGGATTGAATTCAGAGACTTGCACTTGGTAGGCAGGTACTCTACCACTTTGAACCATGCCTTCATCTATCAAAGACATCTATAAAATGTATAATTATGTTAACAGTGCCCCCTGGGCAGTAGATAATTAACTTAAATTTAAAAGATTACAATGTTAAATTTTTCTTCAGTGAGATAATATTGCATTTGTAAAGAGAAAAAACACTGAAAGCACAAAAGGGTAAGAGGGAGATTTTGTATTTCATTTAAATGAATATACCAAGAGATAATATCTTTCAGGCTTAAAACATTAAGTTCTCCTTTACATCAGTGAAAAAAAAATTTCAAGTAAATGTTAAACTATTTATTATACTACAAAAAAATCTTTATTTAATTAGCTGTATTTTCAGAAGATAATGTAAGCCAAGAAAAACAGCATAAAGTAATAAATATTTATTGAAAATCATTCAGCGGAGTATCTACTTGACATTCATTAAATTCTGTATTAGGTACAGATATAGCATAAAGTACAGTAAATGCCTTCCACAATCAAATCTAGCTGAATAAGGCAAGCACTAGCAGTTGATCAGAGACCAGAAAACTAAAAGCAGTTTAGGTAGGAGAGGTCATAGGCCCTGTGTCAGAGAACACCATTATATGGAAATGGTCATTGTACAAATTATGAAGAACAGAAAAAGATGGCTAACTGAAAAAAGAGAAAAAGATTTTAGGAAGGAATTATTATTGAGAAACTGTACTAGATATAGAACAACCTGGAAATATGAAACTGATAGCCTAGAGTTTTAGTTTGAAAGAAAATGAAATCTTGAATATTACACTAGAAGTCTCAGATGTAAAGAAAAGGTAAAATCGGGCTGGGAAGTTGGCTCAGTGGTAGAGCGCTTGCCTTGCATGCCTGAGGCTGGATTCGATTCCTCAACACCACATAAGCAAAAAGAAAAAAGCTGGAAGTGGTGCTGTGGCTCAAGCGCTAGCCTTGAGCTGAAGAACTGAGGGACAGAGCCCAGGCCCAGAGATCAGGCCCCACGACCGGACCCCGGCCCCCAAAAAAAAGAAAAGGCAAAATTAGTGTATTGTATCACTGAGGAGAAAAGAAAAGATAAAGTAAGGAAGCCCACAGGGAAAGAAATACAGTGATCACATAGACCACAGAAAAGTGGTTGGGGAGTCTAGATTTTGTGATTAAATGTCTCCTACATGTCACTCCTAATCTGTTTCAGTACAGTGGTAGAAATGAAAGACTGAGCTTCCTAGTAGTGCGGGTAAAAATAAAACAATTGCTTTGACAAAATGGAAAGAAAGAAAATAGCAAAAGCAAAAGGCAACACACTACAATTCTATGCAGAGGGGAATAAAAACAGCAAAAGAGAAGGAATAAAACAGTTGCTGTTTTCAGAAGAAACAGAATTTTTAAAAATGAGTGTAAACAGGTGTGAAAAGAACTTTGTTAATTCTCCATGGAATTGGCTATTAAATATCCACTAAAGAAAACTTTGTTAATTAATTAATGCTAATTCGTGTCATAAAAATTCTAAGTTCGTGAGATAAGAAACTATACTAATAGAGAAAGTCTGCTATGGAGTGAAGAGAGGCTTATTACAAGTTTTAACAACTACACTATATTCAGTAACTCTGACCCTTGGCTGGAGATGTGACTCAAGTGGTAAAGTCCCTACCTATCAGTAACCTTGGCACTGTAGGTAACCAGTCTCTTGAAGCCTTCTTTTCCTCATTCAAAAGAATATTGATTCCTTCTCTAATGAAATACGACAATACACATGTCTTTTTTTTTTTTTTTTTTTGCCGGTCATGGGGCCTGAACTCTGGGCCTGGGCGCTGTCCCTCAGCTCTTCAGCTCAAGGCTAGTGCTCTACCACTGGAGCCAGAGCGCCACTTCTGGCTTTTTCCTTTTTGCTTATGTGGTGCTGAGGAATCGAACTCAGGGCCTCTGGCATGCAAGGCAAGCGCTCTACCACTGAGCCACCTTCAGAGCCCCTAAAAATATATTTTTAACAAGATAATTTCAGGATAGTTTAAAATAGGAGTGCTAGTTATTAAAGCCAACTACAGAGCATACCAAGTAGTGCATGATGGGATGTTAAGAAATTATAAGTTGACATGGACAACTGGCAAAAAGGATTTAAGGTACAGAAACAGAGACTATGAAGATGGGGCTGTGGTTTTTTTATTCAAAATGTTTTTTTATTTGCCAGTCTTGAGGCTTGAATTCTGGGTCTGTGTACTGGCCTTGAGCTTCTTTTACTCAAGGCTAACACTGCCACTTGAGCCACAGCTCACTTCCACCTTTTTTAGTGTACTTTATTGGAGATAAAGAGACCCAGGGGCTTTCAGCCTCCAGAGTAGCTAAGATTACAGCCGTGAGCCATGGGTGCCTGGCTGCAATGGTACATTTTTTAAGCTGTTTTATGCTAGACATTTATGCCCAATGACATGCCAATATGTATAATTAAAATGCCAACTTAGGTAAATTAAGTAAAGAAAGTTTGCTCAGTGAGAGGCAGGTAGCATAACTATTTCAAGATGAGGTATCAACATTATGATGAACCTTAATGATCAAAATACCATGCAAGCACATATCAAACCTTAAGGAAAGCAAATAAAATAAAGTTGATGGTTATGTTTTGCTTTGGCTAGTATCAGGGCTTGACTCAAGAGCTTCATGCTTACTCAACTTGTTTGATCAACATTGAAACTCTACTTCTAGTCCAGCTTTTGGCTAGTTAATTAGAAATGAGGTCTTGCAGACTTTTCTGCCTGGGTGGCTTTAAACTATGATTCTCCAGGTCTCAGCCTCCTGAGTAGTTATGATTACAGGTGTAAACCACTGATGACTGGTCTGAAAGCTAATCTTTTGAGAGAAACTATAAATTGTAGACATTATCTTATATCGAGATAATATCTAACAATAACAACTCATTAATCTGTTGTGCATAGGCATATAGATAAGTGTGTAAATAGTAAATTTTAAAATTTAAAATAGTAAATTTTAAAATAATCTTCAAATTTAATATTCTATTTTTTTGGGGGGGTCATAGGCCTTGAACTCTGGGCCTGGGCGCTGTCCCTCAGCTCTTCAGCTCAAGGCTAGCACTCTACCACTTGAGCCACAGCACCACTTCTGGCTTTTTTCTTTTTGCTTATGTGGTGCTGAGGAATCGAACCCAGGGCCTCAGGCATGCAAGGCAAGCGCTTTACCACTGAGCCACCTTCCCAGCCCCACACAGAGGTCTTTAAGATAATGACATTTCTATTCTGTAGTTTTGTAATGTAGGTATCCAACTGCTTTCAGTGTTTAACTGAAGGCAAATAATCAGATTCAAATATCTACAATGTGACATTTGTTCAGATATTTGTTCTTAAAGTAAGTTTAAAGAGTTAATATTCCAGAAATAAAAAGATATTGGGGAAATAAAAATAATCATGTTAAATAACTCTTTTATTGTTTGTTTCTTGGTGCTGGGCTTGCACTCAGGACAGGGTATTGTCACTGAGATTTTTTGCTCCAGGCTGGTGCTCTACCACTTAAGCCACAGTGCACTTCTTGATTTTTGGTAGTTAATTATAGGTAAGAGTCTCACAGGCTTTCCTGCCCAGGCTGGCTTTGAATGGTGATCCTTAGATCTCAGCTTCTTGAGTAGGTAGGATTAAAGACATGGGTCACAGACACCTACCTGGAAGACTTAACTGTTTTTTATTTTTTATTTTATTTATTTTTTTTTTTTGTCGGTCGTGGGGCTTGAACTCTGGGCCTGGGCGCTGTCCCTCAGCTCTTCAGCTCAAAGCAAGCGCTCTACCACTTGAGCTACAGCACCACTTCGGTTTTCTGGTGGTTTACTGGAGATAGGAGTCTCACGGCTCTCCTGCCCGGGCTGGCTTTGAACCACGATCCTCAGATCTCAGCCTCCTGAGTAGCTAGGATTACAGGCGTGAGCCACCAGCGCCTGGCTTAACTGTTTTTTAAAAACAATGCTGGAGATTGAACTCAGGGCCTCAAACTTGCTAGACAGGAGGTTCTATTACTTGAGTCACAATTCTAGCCACTTTTTGCATTTGTTATTTTCAATGTAGGGTCTCACTATCTGCCCGGGTCAGCTTGGGCTGCAATCTTCCTACTTGTGTTTCCTATAGTCTTTGGGGATGATAGGTATATATCTAACCATTGTGCTTCCCTAATGGCTGGGCTAACAGGTCAGTGCCATTATGCCCAGCCATAGGTTGAAATAGAGTCTCACAAACTATTAGGCCTGGGTTGACCTTGAACCACAAACCCTTGGTCTCCCAAAAAGCTAGAATTATAGGAACAGGCCACTGCACTGATTCTATATAATATTTTTAACGATTTTTTTGTCAGTCCTGGGGCTTGAACTCAGGGCCTGGGCATTGTTCCTGAGCTTCTTTTGCTTAAGGCTAAGCATTCTTATCACTTGAGCCACAGTGCTACTTCCAGCTTTTTCTCTTTATGTGGTACTGAGGAATTGAACCCCAGGCTTCATGCATGCTAGGCAAGCACTCTACCACTAAGCCATCTTCCCAGCCCTAAATTTTTTTTTTAAACAAATAAAAACAAAGACTTCTGTAGGTATGGTACTCAGCCACTATGTGGTAAATGAACTAGTGGGCAGGGACAAGAGAAGGAAACTGAGAGAATGCAAAGGAAGGGGTAACATTGTCCAAAAAGAAATTTACTTATTATCTGACTTACGAAATGGAAACCCCTCTGTACAACACCTTAGTAATAACAATAAAATTATATTTAAAAAAGTAAAGAATTTTAAGAGAGCGATCTGGAAATATACATTAAATCCCAGGCTCCTCCAGATATTAGATTAAGAGAGCTTTATTCCACTCTGCCATAGGTATTCACACATTTGCCAACTTTTCCCATACTTTCTACAAATCTACAAAGCATGGAGTAGGCAGAGCCTGCTGAATCCTGCACAGTGCAGTGCCCCAGCATAACTCCACTGGTGATGCCACTTCCTCCGCTGAAGAGCCTGCCACTGCAGGTGTAGTGGCAATCTGCAAGCTACCAATATTCTTTTATGGATGTAAATTGTCTACATTTTAACTGCACAACCTACAGTGAGAAGAGCAAACCAAAAAAATTTATATAAGACCACAGACTATTGTTTTGATTAAAAAAAACAACAACACAAAGATTCAGCGCACCCCTAGAGGCAGGCCCTTCAGGGGTGGGTGAGACATCGCCAGTGGAGTGCAACTTGGGGCTTTGCTCTGTTCCAGAATTGGCAATCCATGCCTGCTCTGCACTTTGCAAATCTGTAGAAACAAAGACAAAGAGACCACTATTAGCTCCATGTCATCAGAGATCTGCAGTTACCAGGACAGGAATCCTATAAAGGTTGGCTCTATTTATAAACCTATTTGCAGGTCATTTCAAGTGAAAATATATAATGAAAAAATACAAGATCAAATCAACATATACTAGCTCTTTCAAGGGAAAATAAGAAAAATGTTTTTATTTGCTTTAATATTCCTATGGAACGGAATGTCTAAGAGTCTTCTACTTCTTCATTACAGAAACCCGTAAGCAAAAACGACTTTCTTGCTATTAGGACAGTGTTCTAAGCAATTCAGTTGTAGGGAATTTGCACTTACAGGCACACCTCTTCCACCAGGTGTCTGCCTTCCAAAATCTGCAAAGGCTGGAGTGAAGTCTGGTCCCCGAGGCAAAATCCGAGGATCCAAAGTTCGCATTGGCAATTTGGGTTGGTTGATCTGCATGAAGAAGCAAAGGAGCGTTTAAGATACACGTGTTCTACAGTATGCAGTGCCAGAAAATTAACCTAAACTTAAAGTTAATAGCTAACGTACAGATAAGCATGGCTTCTAAGAAATTATAATTCCAACATGAGACATGGCTTGCCTCAAAATCTTTAGGACAACATGTGGTCTAGTTTTCAAGGTGAGGCAAAACACAGCCAGCACCCACCAGATGCCTAAGAATGGTAAACGGCACCAGACAAGCTATTTTTGTGTTGACGTGAAATAAGGACAAATTTTGGATTTTTAAGAGAATATACAATAGGATAGCAGAACATTTATTTATAGGAATCATGCTATCATTCATTTGGGGTTTGATTCTGTCAGCTTAAGGTCAGTAAAGCATGTATACTAGTGGATAAAGTCTTAAAAGATTATGCTTCATACAGATCTAACAAATCATCTAAAATTTTGCCTTGCCAGCCTTGCTTGTTACTATGAGATATGAAAAGCAGCTAACATGATGATGGACTCCAGCAAAGCTAAGTAGCTCAGTGAGAGTCAACAAATAACTGAAGCCATAAAAAACAAAAACAAAAAAACAAAACAAAACAAAAACCCATAAGGTAGCAAGACAGAAAAAAATCTTGTATTATTTTTTGGTGCCAATTCTGGGTTTTGTACTCTTGGTCAGGGCACTCCCTGAACTTTATTATTGCTCAAGGCAAGTACTCTACCATATGAGGTACAACTCCACTTCGGGTTTTATGGTAGTTAACTGAAGGCAAGAGTCTCACAGACTTTCTGCCTGGGCTGCCTTTGAACTGTCCTCAGGTATCAGCCTCTTAAGTAGCTAGGATTACTAGCATAAGCCACTAGTGTCTGACCTTCTCACTTCATGCTTATCAGGCAGGTGATTTAACACTTGAGCCAACATCCAATATACAACATTGGATCTCCTTATCTCTGCTATTCTAATTAGAGGCATTAGCTACAGACATGACTAGAAAAATATTTCCTAAGAGAATAATTTAATTTAATGGGTATTATACTTGCCCTCTGAGGCACTGAAGTAGCCTCAAAAGTAGTACCAGCAATCAGTCATCAACTATCCTCACAGACATACTTAAAAGAGAGGGCTTAGATATATTCACAGAAATACGAAAGCCTGCTGCTATGGGAATGTAACAAAAGTAAGATTAGCATAAGCAGCTGGTGCTTACAGCCACTAGATACAAATGTCTCATTCTATGACAGTCAATAAGGAATATAGTTCATCTCCAAAAATACTGTTGTATGGGGACATAACTCAAGGGTAGACTACTTCCTGAGCATGCTTCAGGCCTTGAGTCTAATACTCAGCAATGCCCAAAACAAAACAACTTCAAACATAAATCACCAGTAGTGCAACATCTTTGATTTACATTTATATGTCTACTTACTATGTAAGCAGATGCATCCAGCTTTATTCCTTTTAATTAATAAACATTTGGATTCATTTTCTGTGTAGCCACATGTAGAGGGTTAGAGGTGTGGCTAAAGTAGTACTGTGTCAGCCAAGCAAGCAAACTAAATAAGTGAGTATAAGGCATTAAATTCAAACTCTAGATTTAAAAAAATTCCATGTATAAGCAGAAAAGATGTCTACCTACATGGCTTAAGATTGGGGACTTAGTCACTGGAAATAACTGTAAGTAAAAATGTGCGATGAACCTTATTTGACTTATGACTTCCAGTTATTTAATCTGCCTATACTTGCCCAGGTTTCTGACCTGTCACCAATGCTACTATATTGAATGATGAAACTTTAGCTGAGTGAGGAAAGATTTCTATCAATTTGGCTATCTCCAAACAAACACAATTTTTATTAAGATTAAAGCAAACAACCAGTAAGTATAGTAATGTATGCAATGTATGGAAAAACCTATAAATTCAACAGTGTTTTGGGAAAATCTGATGTCTGAATATTACATATTTTTATTTAAATGTCATCTAGTCTACAGTTCCTAAGAATTCTTCATATTTCATATATTTGCACTGCAGCTTACCTTATCAAGAACCACATCACTGATGGGAGGCAGGCCCTCTGGTTTTTGTATACAGGCTGGCATAAACTGAAAGTCTAGTAGAAACTCTCTGTCATACTGCTTCTTGCCTTCATTATCAGTAGGCTTCCAGGATTCTAAAGAGAGGGATATAAGCAGACAGTTTTTCATACAAACCAGACTCCAAAGTCTGCTGTGTCTTGTAATGGATAAACACACCCAAAAAAATCAGAAGCAACACTAATCTACACATGAACAATTTTTGGGAGGTAGGCAGGCACTCTACCATTTGAGCTAACTATCAAGTCCCTTTCTGATTCTTCTTTAATGCCTGAGTTTCAATCCTCCCACTGTGTTGCCCAGCATCACTGAGGATCAACAGTGCTAGGCACTTTGCACAGCCAGTGTACTTCCACAACAGGATAACAGGCACATGCCACTGCACCAATAATTGAGATCAGGTTTCACAAAGCCTTTTTTGCCTTAGTTGGCCTGTAACCTCAAACCCTCTGGATCTTCACCTCCGCAAGTAGCTAGGATTATAGCTTTGAGCCATCACAACTAGCTCATGTAAAGACTTTTTTAAAATTTTTTTCTTGGGTCCGGTCGTGGGGCCTGAACTCTGGGCCTGGGCACTGTCCCTCAGCTCTTCAGCTCAAGGCTAGCGCTCTACCACTTGAGCCACACTGCCACTTCCCACTTTTTTCTTTTTGCTTATGCGGTGCTGAGGAATCGAACCCAGGGCCTCAGGCATGCAAGGCAAGTGCTCTACCACTGAGCCACCTTCCCAGCCCCGACATGTAAAGACTTTAAACTACCACCTTTCCTTTTCTTTTGATACTTTTGGATATTAAAACTGTGAAACAAGAAGAAACTACTTTGCATATTAAATGAGCTTTGGGCCCTGGATATAAAGGATACTTTGGGTTTTCACATAGCAATGTTATTTTAGCAACACAAAACACACCAAAAAAACCCCACAACCACCTCCTTGCACATAAAACTAAAGATAATGAGAAGGCAGTATATACAGTATATACAGTATATGCAGTATATACAGCTCAGGATAGCTTGGAACTTTCCATCTTCCAGCCTCAGCCTCCTAGAGCTAGGATTATAGAGGTATATGCCACTAGGCCCAGCTTAGCTAACATTTTAAATATAAATTTTACATTGGTTTTTTAAAAAAAATCATAGCACTTTAACCTTGCTACTATTAGTATTGTATCAGTTATCACTATTCAATCCCATTCTTATTATATAAAATTGGAGAACGACTATAAAAGGTTTTGTTAAATAAAAACCATGATTATTTAAATTGACAAAACTCTTATCAAAATGAAGTACCAGGTCACATCATAGTAGCAGACTGGATCATCTACTAGCAGTTCCTGTTGTGGAGTGGAGGTTATAGGCCTACAAACAGTCCATAAGAAGTTTAGTTTCAAAAATCCTTATTACCTTATAACATTATACACTAAAAAGTAGCATATAGCATCTACATTTTCAAATAAATTTTGCACAACTTTGGTGCTGAATACTCTATTCCACGGGTCAAAGTTAGTTGGTCAATTACAGTTGGGCCTTCTAATTGTGCACTTGCACAAGCCTGTAATCCTAACTGCTCAAGAGGCTAAGCTTTGGGGCTGGGAATGTAGCTTAGAGGTAGAGTGCTTGCAAGAAACCCTTGGTTCGATTCCTCAGTACTACATAAACAGAAAAGGCTGGAAGTGGTGCTGTAGCTCAAATGGTAGAGTTCTAGCCTTGAGCAAAAGAAGCTCAGGGACAGTGCCTAGCCCCTAAGGTCAAGCCCTAGGACTGGCAAAAATGAATAAATAAAACTCAAAAAGAGGCTAAGATTTGATAATCCTGATTCGAAGCCAGCCTGAGAAAGAAACTCTGTGAGACTCTTTTTTTTTTTTGGGTCCGGTCGTGGGGCCTGAACTCTGGGCCTGGGCACTATCCCTCAGCTCTTCAGCTCAAGGCTAGCGTTCTACCACTTGAGCCACAGCGCCACTTACGGCTTTTTTCCTTTTTGCTTATGTGGTGCTGAGGAATCGAATCCAGAGCCTCATGCATGCAGCCAAGCACTCTACCACTGAGCCACCTTCCCAGCCCTCTGTGAGACTCTTATCTCCAGTAAACTAAAAAAAGCTGGATATGGCACTTGGCTCAAATGGTAGAGTGCTCACTTTGAGCAAAAGAAGCTCAGGGACAATGCCCAGACCCAGAGTTCTAGCCCCAGGAACAGCAAACAAACAAACATTTTAAACATTGCAATATAATCTCAATTTTCTAACGAAGGATTGGTAGTGGCTACAAGTACTAGGTGATTTTGTATGAGTTTACATTTACAAAAGTGATTTCAAAATACTGGGTTCTATTACTCTGAACATCACTCTATTTTTATTTTATTTATTTTTAATTAATTAATTTATTTATTTATTTTTGGGTCGTGGGGCTTGAACTCTGGGTCTGGGCGCTGTCCCTGAGAGCTTCAGCTCAAGGCTAGTGCTCTACTACTTGAGCAACAGTATCACCTCTGGTTTTCTGGTGGTTTGTTGGAGATATAAAGAGTTTTTATAGCCTTTCCTGCCTGGCTGGCTTTGAACCACGATCCTCAGATCTCAGCTTCCTGAGTAACTAGGATTACATGAGTGAGCCACCAGCACCTGGCTTTCATTTTATTTTTTTGTTGGTGTGGGGCTTGAACTCAAGTCCTAGGCACTGTCTCTGAGGTCTTTTTGCTCAAGGCTAGTGCTCTACCACTCTGAGCCATATTTCAGGCTTCCAATAATCCAGTCATACTACTTGGCTGATTTACAGAGAAAATTCTTTGGTAATTCCTGTCACCAAACTGAACTTTCGGAAAAGAGCATCTCAGGGAACACGGTCATATCTATACTATCTCTTTGAATTCAAATGGATGAAATTAAATTTCTCTTACTGAATTCTAATACCCTAGCACTGCTGGCCTCTCTTTGGCAGCTGCTCTTCCAATGCTAGTAAAAGTCCTGGAATGCCTGCATCAGATACCAATTTCTGTCCATGAAGATTTGCTAGACACTGATGTTCATCTCTGCACACCACAAATATTATCATGTGATGAATCTCTTCCTTCTATCCCCTACCTCTATGAGAAGGCACTATTTCTTTAGGATTAAAATAACAGAGGGAAGGGAGAAGGGAAGAGGCACTCAGGAAGACAGGGATAAACTTACCTGGCTTAAATGGGAATGTGACCCCATCGGCAGAGCCTGGATTATTATCGACAGAGCTTGGATTAGCATCTATTCCTTCACCCTCAGAAACATTCTCAGCACCATTACGTACGGGCTCAGATTCTTCTCCATTTTCTTCCATAGCTTTCACTCTTTTTAGATCAGAGGGGTCCCTCTCAAGATGAAACCCTTGGCTCATTTTATCTTGTTCAGATTCAAGTGCTCTGTCAATTGAAAGCTCCTCTTCTGCTTTAGGCTAAAGCGTAAGTGAACACAGATGTTATTTCTTTTTTCAAGTGTAAATATATGTGAAGACCTATACTTACCCCCTCAAAAACACAAGAAAATGTGCCACTCAAGATATGAATGCCCGTGTGCTCAGTATACAATGTTAGAATGATGAGTTTTTAAAAAACACTTTACTCATTTCCCCACATGGGGTAAGGCATACAATTCAAATAGCTACTGAAATGCTTGAACATGTGACTAATGAATCTAAAATGTACCAAAGGTTAGAACAGAAAGAACTGTTAATCCTTGGAACTTAATGAACATGAAAGAGTTCTAGTCAGAAATCTAAAACAAGCACTCCTCTTGCCACTAAACTCGGCACATATAAAAAGAAACACTTGAGAGTATATTTTAGAGCTGTACTTTGGAAAGAAACAAGATCTTGGGGTAACTAAAGATCTAAGTTCTCTAAAGACAAACACTTCTCATATGACAAGGAGGCTCATTAGTTAAAGTCAGCACGTAAGCACACAACATTCATCTATCTATGACAGGACTGGGGCTTGAACAGCCTGGGTGCTGTCTCTGAGCTTTTGTGCTCTGGGGTGGCACTCTGTCACTTCAGTTACACCTCCATTTCCAGCTCTTTGTTGGTTAACTGGAGATGAGTTGTATCGACTCTCCTACCCAGATGCTTTGAACTATGATCCTCATATCTCAGCCTCCTTAGTAGGTAGGATTACAGATATAAGCCATTGGTGCCCAAGTACTCAATGTGTTTATTTCATTTAAAAAAAAAAATTTGGTGCTGGTCCTGAGACATGAACTCAGGGCCTGGGCACTGTCACTGAGCTTTTGTGTTCAAGGCTAGTGCTCTACCACTTGAATCATAGCTTCACTTGGTAGTTATAGTCTCACAATCTGGTTTTGAATCACAACCCTCATATCACATTGCCACATTGCCCAGTTCAAATATATTTTTAGAAGAAAGGAAGAATTGAATTTATACCTTAGATTGTTTCTGATTAGGTATCTTAAGTGTTAGTATCAAAGAAGATAGCTTTCTAAGGGCCTCATGAGAGATCACAATTCTGTCCAGTAAAGTTTACCATGAAATTTAGGTCTCTCTTTTTTCATCATGAAAGTGTGGACTATGGTAACAATAATATGGAACAAGAACTTAGAGGAAAAAGGATCCAACTGTTAACTTCATACTAGAAGAAGTAAAAATTAAGGTTTGTTTAGCACAGCACTGTGTGAAAGGACATCCCATATGCCAGGCAATACTTTACCTTACTTATGGAATTATGCTTTAAGAAATGAGTGACATGGGCTGGGAAGGTGGCTCAGTGGTAGAGTGCTTGCCTCGTATACATGAGGCCCTGAGTTCCATTCCTCAGTACCACATAAGCAGAAAACAGCCATAAATGGCACTGTGGCTGTAGTGGTAGGGAGCTAGCCTTGAACTGAAGAGCTGAGGGACAGTGCCCAGGCCCAGAGTTCAGGCCCCATGACCGGACCCCAAAAAAAAAAAAAAAAGAAATGAATGACAAATTCTTTATTACACAGGAGATAATTTTATAAATCTGATCACAGAGAAAAGATACAAATAAAAATTTTCAGCAGAAACTGATTTTTATTTTTGGTAGTACTGGAGTTCAACGTGATGATCTTAGACTTCCTAAACATGTGCTCTTAAAGTACTGATTATGCCTCCGGCCCTGATTTTTTTTGGTAGTTCTTTTTCAGATAGGTCTTCACACTAAGTTCAGCTTTTAGTTGAGCAGGGGTTTTACAGAATTATATTGCTTGTGCTGTTTGAAGTCTTGATTCTACAAAGAAAGTCAAAGTTCCTGCAAACACACACACAAACACAAGCAAACACATCCCTACCCAGAGAAGGGAAAGTAGCCTGAATATCAGCAGGCTGAAGCAGGAGGATTGACCCTGTCATTCAGACGCTGTCTCAAACAAAATTAAACACAGACATAATCTAACAAAGTATTTGGAAATGATTTATTTGTTCTGAAATGCTTTTAGAAGAAAGTATCTTTTAAACATTGAGAAAGACAGATTTATTGACAATGAATCATAAATAATCAAGAATATCATAGTCTAAGAAGTGGCAGAACAGTCACTCATGTCTATAATCCCAACTACTTGGGTGGCAGAGACATGAGAGAATCACAAATTGTAAGGATCTATTCTTTCCTCCCCTGCCCCCACTCCCCACCCTTTTGCCTGTCCTGGGACTTCAACTCAGGGCCTGAGTGCTGTCCTTGTGCCTTTTTGTGCTCACGGGTAGTGCTCTACCACTTGAGTCACAGTGTCACTCCTGTTTTGTCTGAGTAGTTTATTGGAGGTAAGAGTCTCACTAACTTTTCTGCCCAGGCTGATTTTGAACTGTGATCCTCAGATCTTAGCTTCCTGAGTATCGCATCAGCCACAAGTACCCAACAAGGATTAGCTGGGCATCAGTGGCTCATGCCTGTAATCCTAGCTACTAAAGAGACTGAGATCTGAGGATCTTGGTTCAAAGCCAGCCCAGGCAGAAAAGTTCCTGTGAGACTTATCTCCAACTAACCACTCAAAAACTGGAAGTAGCATTGTGGCTCAAGTGGTAAAGTGCTAGCCTTGGCCACAAAGAGGCTTAGGGACAGTGTCCACACCCTTAGTTCAAGTCCCACAATCTACCCTGAAAAGGGGGAGAGGGAGGAATTGTTTCTCCAGGCCAAGCCAGGCAGAAAAATTTATATACTTAATCTCAACAAAGATCTAGATGAGGTACTGTGTACTAACTGTATCCAGGAATCATCTAAGACCCTATCCTTAAAATAACATCTCACAAACACATACACAGACAGACATGCACGCACGCGAGCACGCGCACACACACACACACACACACACACACATCTAGAGGTGTCTCAGAGGTAAGGGCATCTGTCTGGCAAGTATGAAGCCGAGTTCAAACTCCAGTACCAACAAAACCAAATAAACATCTGATAGGTATGATGGTGCCTGCCTATAAGACAAAGAGAGAGCTGCAGTTCAGAAGTTCCAAGTCAGTTGGGGCAAAATAAAAGTGAAACTCAACCTCAAAAACAAAATGTAAGTGTCAGGCCAAGTGCTAGCAGTTCATGCCTGTAATTCTAGCTATTTAGGAGACTGAGATTTGAAGACTGATGTTTAAAGGCAGCCTCGACTCATCTCCAATTAATCACCAGAAGGCCAGAAGAGGAGCTGGGAGAATTCTGGCCTTGAGCAAAAAACCTCAGGGATACCACCAGTCCCTAAGTTCAAGCCTCAAGACTCATGTGCATGTACACACCCACACACACACGTACAAGCTTAGTAACAGTGCCCAGACTCCCCTCTCCCTGAATTCAAGACCCATAATTGGCAAGAAAATTAAAAGAAAACCCTAACCCAGGTACGATAGCAAATGCCTATAATTCTTGCTACTTGGAAAGCAAAGGTGATTTTCTCAGCAGTCCTGTGCTTAGAACTCAGAGCCTCACATTTGCTTAAACAGGCATTGTACTGTGAGCTTCCATACTCTGAACCCTTAACACAGTAAGTTTTCCAAGTATAAGAAAAACATTCTGACAACTATGGATCTAATGACTGATGAAATGTCTAAAAGTTTCTAAATAAAATTAAAATGCTTAAACAGTGATATTCACTGAAAATCTTTTGTCATATTTTTCAAGGCTGTAATTAAAAAGATAAAATATTTGTAATGGTATAACAACAGCAACAATAACAAAAGCCCTCAAAACGAGTTGACTGTATTTTGTGTGCACGCCCACACGCATGTATGCCAGCACTAGGGCTTGAACTCAGGGCTTTGGCACTGCCCTTTAGTGTTTTTGCTCAAGGCTAGTATTCTACCTCTTAAGGCACAGTTCTACTTCTAGCTTTTGGTGGTTAATTGGATATGAGTCTCCCTGACTTTCCTGCCTAGGTTGGATTCAAACTGAGATCCTCTGATCTCAGCTTCTTGAATACCTAGGATTACAGGCATAAGCCACTAACACTTGGAAGGCTACATTTTTTTTTTAAAGGCTGAAAAATGTAAGAAAGGGAGTACCTCATCAGTGGTAATGAGGCATCTAATATTTAATAAGCTACTCTAAAAATTATATTAGCAACTGTACAAGATTAGATTTTCTGAAGAAAAATCAACAAATACTTATTAAATTTTATTTGTAAACTAGAAGATTAGGAAACAAAAGTGACTTCTCCTGTTAGCCAGAAGGTCAAGAAATGACTTAACTTCTCATGTTTAGAGAACAATAAGCTAAAACAATTATAGAAAACGTATTTATGGGCCATTATTTTTTTTGTTTTGGGGGGTTGTCTGGTCGTGGGGCCTGAACTCTGGGCCTGGGCACTGTCCCTCAGCTCTTCAGCTCAATAGCAACACTTCTGGCTTTTTTTTTTCTGCTTATGTGGTGCTGAGGAATCGAACTCAGGGCCTCATGCATGCAAGGCAAGCACTGTACCACTGAGCCACTTTCCCAGCCCTTATGGGCCACTTTTGACCTATGACTTTTTTGTAAAAGCATGCAAGATAAAAATGGTTATTTTAATATAATGTTTTCATAATATACAAATTCAAATTCCAGTATCCACCAACTAAATTTTAGTGGAATATAACCATAATTCACTCATTTATACACAGACTGCTTTGGGGCTAAAGCAACAGAATTGAAGAGTTAACAACAGGTCTAAATATTTACCATTCACACTTCATGGAAAAAGTTTGCTGTTTTAGGAAATCATATCAAATTACTCTGATATCAATCTAAGCAAAAGGATAGGATGAACATTTAAAGGTATGGAAGTTCTATTCCACCCAGTTAGTAATAGCTTTATAGCTCCTATGAAATGTAGCCATAGATCAAAGGAATAGGAGACACAAAGGAAGAAAAAACTCCTCTTTGAATCTAAAGAGAAACTAGTTTAGGAAGCTTATGGGCATACCAGAAATATATGTGCTTCCCATGTCTCTAGAAAGGATTTTATTCTCTGTAGGAGCAGCATTTTATGGTTAAGCTGCAAGAATACAGCAACTACTTGTACCTCTACTAACAGTGCCAAATCTTACCCTGATACCCACAATGAAATCACATCAATGCAACTTTTTAGTGGTTGCTATGGGGTTAACTGTGACATCAACAGAGCATCGTATTAAGGTAAGGGTGGCACAAGGGAAGCAGCTGTTAGCTGCAGCAAAGTATTTTCAATAGATGGAAAAAAAAATCTTATGATGTAAATTCACTTAAAGTTACCTTAGGTAATTTATATATCTTAAATGTAATCGTTTAAATATTTTCATTTTCATTTTTACCTTCAGGAAAAGTTATTTTAGTAAAGTAGATTATAAAAACAGCTTAAGGTCAGGCATGGTGGTCCTTTTTGTAATCCCAGAACTCAGGAGGCTAAGGCAGGAGGATATCATCCAAGCCAGCCTAGTCTATGTAATAAGGCTCTGCCTCAAATCAACAACAACAAAAAAGCAAAAAACCAAAACCCCAAACAAAAACAGAACAGCTTAAAAATCAAGATGTGGTGGTGCACACCTTCAGAGGCCAAGGCAGAAAGATCCCAAGTTCAAAGCCAGGCAAGTTACATCACAAAACAGGACCAACAAAATAAAAAGCAAAAGAATAGCTTAAAGGTAAACTTCAATATGTAACCCAAAGGACATGGAGATCACAAACTATGGAATGATTATGGTAACTTTTAGGACCAGATTCCTTCTTCCTCACATCATTTCTTGAAGTTGGCTATTTTTTAACCTACAGCAAAATTTGGTAAGGCTTATTTAAAGATAGACAAATGACATGAAGGAGTTTTATTACTGGATGCAAGGAAGAAACATGGCAGTTTCTAGATCTCCCTCTATTGTACTGGTATACTTTACCAACACTGCAAATGAGTATTTTTTAAAAAATGTTTTGTTTGCCAGATTAGTCTTTCTAATTAGGTTAATACAAAGAAATTTGGGCTGGGAAGGTGGCTCAGTGGTAGAGTGCTTGCCTCACATGCTTGAGGCCCTGGGTTCGATTCCTCAGCACCACATAAGCAAAAAGAAAAAAGCCGGAAGTGGCACTGTGACTCAAGTGGTAGAGCTCTAGCCTTGAGATGAAGAGCTGAGGGACAGTGCCCTGGTCCAGAGTTCAGGCCCCATGACCGGACCCAAAAAAAAAACAACAACAAATTTTCAATTAGGAAAAGGGGAAGAGTAAAAATTTGGCCTTCTGGCCAGGCAGATATTAGGGATTAAATCCAGGACTTCACACCTTATAGTATTTGGTTACCTGAACCATTAGCTCATTTAAAAATTATTTATTGAGTGGCACTGGGGTTTGGTTTGGATTCAGGCCTTGTGCTTAACCATTCCACCACTGATACTACAGCCTACCCCTTTTAAAGATTCAGTAATTTCTCAGATGGATCCCCTCCACCCCACTTGGCCTGGACCAAAATCCTACTTACACTTACCGAGTAAGTAGGATATGGAATAATAGGCATATGTTAGTTACCATGCCCAACCCACTGGCAAAGATGGAGGACTCATTAGCTTTTGTTGGGGCTGGCCTCAAACTGTAATCCTCCTGATCTTCACTTCCTGAGTAGCTGGTGTGACAGGCCTGAGCCATGGTGCCTAGGCCCAAAAGGTTGCCATTTAGAAGATGGATTTTTGAATTCAATGAAACTAAGCATGTTATTAAAAATCTTTTAAAAACTCTATAGTACAAAGAAAATTAGCTTCAAACTTATATCAAGTTTTGCTGGAAAAATACTATCTTTTAAATACTATATATAAACATGCCATATGAAAAGACAATCGATAGTGAGCTAAAGATACTTGCTGCTACTTACCTCCAATTCTGCCTCCAACACCTCTTCAGTGGTTCGGTTATGGTCTTTTGGTTTCTTCCACATCTTTGGTGCATTAATAACTGTTTGCACTGAAATATAAGATGAGACCTGTTAGTTACTACTGCACAATCATGATGGGCATTCCTGGGCTTAAGTGATATTTACATTCAGCATAATAAAAGGGAATTGATCTTTATATAGAAGAGAGTTGGATCAAGCCGGGCGCTGGTGGCTCACACCTGTAATCCTAGCTACTCAGGAGGCTGAGATCTGAGGATCGCAGTTCAAAGCCAGCCCGGGCAGGAGAGACCGTGAGACTCCTATCTCCAATAAACCACCAGAAAATCAGAAGTGGCGCTCAAGTGGTAGAGCACTCGCCTTGAGCTGAGGAGTTGAGGGACAGCGCCCAGGCCCAGAGTTCAAGCCCCACGACCGACAAAAAAAAAAAAAAAAAGAGAGTTGGATCATCAAGTGAACAAGTGTGCAGATATAGCCCAGAGATTTCGATGACACAATGTCTTAGACATAAATTCAAAAGCTTTGGCTCCTCTTACATGAGGACAGGGCACATCTGGTTTATAATTCTGGTGGGACTGGGCATCACTAATCTGAAAATTCAAAATCTAAACTCTAAAGCATTCAGATTTTCTGGTTAAGACTGTTTGATCAGCATACTGGGTACAAATATTTTGGAATTAGAAATACTTCCAGTCCCAAGTACTTCAGATCAGAGATATTCAAACTGGCTTGTGAGCCAATTCAAAACTTGGGTCTACTTCTATTAACTCTCTGACCTTAAACAATTTGCACTTCTCATGCCCCTGCATAATTCAACAATGAAATTTAGACAATGAAGATTCTTGTAGGTTGTAAGAAAACATTATGTTCAGAATCTAGTTATTTAAAATTTTTCTAGATAACAAAATGGCACCTCAAGTCAAGTTTCACTGGATAGGAGGCTCATTTCCTTTAAGATAAATGCCATAAGGTCTAAATTTTTTCACAGTGGTGGTAGAGCTGGAAAAATAGGTACTATGTACTGGATTATTCTAAGTAACTACAGATAAAGATTGAATTTACAAAGGTCTTTCATTCTCCCCCAACCCATCTCTCTCTAGGGTTGTTATGCCAGGATACAAACCCAAGGCCTTAGGCATTCCAGCAAGAGCTCTACCAGTGACTAACATTTCCAAAAGAATTTTAAAAATTCATCCAGCCTATGAAACATAATAATTTACTTAACATGTATATATAAAACTATAGTAAGTAGAAAATATTATACAGATAGAACATACTAAGTAGCGTGTGAAGAACAAGGAAAATGAGACATTTAACAACAGTACAGCAACAAGAGTAACAACAACAAAAAAATAAACTGTAAATCTTCATGACATACCTCAAACCAAATTTTCTTTACTCTTCCCCTCAGAAATCAGAATGAAGAGGAACTATTAGATCAGCTGTTATTCTTCCTTTCTGGCTGATCCAAGGTAAACCACTGAATCCAAATATGGAAACAGTAGTTGTTTTTTAGTACAGAGTATAGAGATCTAATACCAAATGACAGTGTACTATGCAAGCTACTTTCGTAGTACTACTGATCAGGAGATGCAGTAAAATTTGGGTTAACTGCAAGCAGTGCTGGCAGTAGGCAAGATGTAGGGGAAAGGTCTGTGGAGGGAGAGTGAGGTAGAAAGAAAGAGAGGAAACAAGGGAGGGGAAGAGAGGAAGAAGACTCCATGATTTATAGGGCAAAATAAAACTGAGTTAGCTAGAATTACACTTAAGAGACAGTCATAAATTTGTTCTTTCCTTTATAGTCAATTGCACTCAATTTTGTTGACTGAACAAACAATAGCAATTCTGTGAAATAGTATTAGTAATAGTAATACTAGGCAGGACTGTAACCCAGGATCTCACATTTGCTAGAAAACCACTTAGCTACACTAGCCGCCCAAACAGATCCTATTAGCATTCTCAAAGAAAAGACAGTGTATCCATCTTATCTTTCATTAAAGCATCATGTACAACTTACAATCTTTGTGTAGTCCTAAAATCCAGACCTTAAGAGAGGCTGAAAGAAGACTTGTCCCATGAGAATTCTAATTTTTTTAATTTTTTTGCCAATATCACAGCTTGAACATCTGTGATTTCACTTAGCTTTTTCCATTTATGGCTCAATGTGCTTTACTAACTTCCTAGGTATTTCTCAATCCATTCAAACTGAGAAGATAGAAAATTATAATCAAGTCTGACAGAAGTCAGAAATGTTGCCTACTAAGTAGGATAGCAGACATTACTCCTATGGTTGGCAAAAATGTCCCCTCATGTAAATGAGTTAGTCTTTTTTTCTAATCATAAACAAATGGCTGTGGACTCACCAGCACCACACATAAAAGATATATCCAAGCCAGGTGGGTTTCAGTGGCTCACACCTGTAACATTAGTTACTTAGAAGACTGAGATCTATGGATCATAGCTCAAAGCCAGCCTGGGCAGGAAAGTCTGTGAGACACTTATTTCCTTAAGCTGAGACTCAAGTGACAAAGCACTATCCTTGAGCACAAAAGACCAGGGACAGTGCTCAAGCCCTGAGTTCAAGCCCCAGGACACACACACATACACACACACACACCAATGAATAAACACACACACACACACACACACACACCAATGAATAACTGTTACGCAGCACAAGGCCCAGGACACACACACACCAATGAATAACCACACACACACACACACCACACACACACACACACACACACACCCCCCACACCACACACCCCACACACCACACATACCACCCCCACACCACACACACCACACCACACACACACACACACACACACACACCAATGAATAACTGTTACGCAGCACAGAAAACAAAGCACTATCCTTGAGCACAAAAGACCAGGGACAGTGCTCAGGCCCTGAGTTCAAGCCCCAGGACCAATCAACATACACACATGCACGCGCACACACAACATATATCCAATGAACAACTGTTACGCAGCACAGAAAGCAAGCCACAAGAAAAATCCTGTTTCATCTTTGATACTAACATGAACACAGGATTCTTTTCCTTCTAGTATTTAAAAATTAGTTATATACATACTGTACTTTTGTTTTATAAGAGAACAACATTTTAAGCCCTACAGTTTAGTAGGAGCTAAACTAATTCTGCCGAAACCTCTACCTACATGTCCAGTTTGAAAATTTTTGTTTCAGCTGCTTAGAATTCATTATAATTATGAAAAAAGGTAATTTCAAAGCAAGTTAGAAAAGGTACAATTAAAGTTTAAAAAATAACACATTGAAGAACCATAAAAGAGCAAAAGGTGCATGGTTTTAGAGCCAGGCACTAGTGGCTAACGCCTGTAATCCTAGCTACTCAGGAGGCTGAGATCTGAGGATCACAGTTCAAAGCCAGCGCAGGCAGGAAAGACTGTGAGACTCTTATTTCCAATATACCACCAGAAAACCGGCAATGGCACTCAAGTGGTAGAGCCCTAGCCTTGGGCTGAAGAGCTGAGGGACAGCGCCCAGGCCCACAGTTCAAGCCCTATTCGCAAACCCCCCTTCACACACACAAAGTATGTGGTTTTAAAAACTAATTTTAAGCCAGGCGCTAGTGACTCATGCCTATAATCCTAGCTACTCAGGAGGCTGAGATCTGAGGATCATGGTTCAAAGCCAGCCTGGGCAAGGAAAGTCCAATTAATGACCAGAAAACCAAAAGTAGCACTGTGGCTCAGGTGGTAGAGAGCTAGCCTTGAGCTGAAGACCTGAGGGACAGTGCCCAGGCTCAGGGTTCAGGCCCCACAACCGACCAAAAAAAAAAAAAGCAAAAGAAGCTTTTTATCTGCATTGTTAACTCAGGACCCTTCAAGAGCCTGGGAGTCAACTCTTTGACACCTAAGCATTAAGGATCATTTCACAGGGCTGGGAAGGTGGCTCAGTGGTAGAGCGCCTGCCTTGCATGCTCGGGGCCCTGGGTTCGATTCCTCAGCACCACATAAGCAAAAAGAAAAAAGCCGGAAGTGGCGCTGTGGCTCAAGTGGTAGAGCACTAGCCTTGAGCTGAAGAGCTTAGGGACAATGCTCAAGCCCAGAGTTCAGGCCCCATGACCGGACCCCCCAAAAAAAAAGGATCATTTCACAATGATTTAAGAAACTAATTTTCATTTAAGAAAAAGCTACTAATTAATACATAGGTACCAAAACTGAGGAGAATTTAGGGTAAACTAATTTGGTAAAAACATCAACAGAGGACAAGATGGTTGTATTAAGAATAGATATGGAGAGGGTGTGGAGGTGCATGGAGGAACTCAGAAAGCTAGGAGGCTGGAGCAAGAGGATCTGATGTTCAGAGCCAACTGGGGGGCTGGGAAGGTAGCTCAGTGGTAGAGTGTTTGCCTTGCATGCATGAGGCCCTGGGTTCGATTCCTTAGCACCACATAAGCAGAAAAAGCTGGAAGTGGCACTGTGGCTCAAGTGGTAGAGCACTAGCCTTGAGCTGAAGAGCTGAGGGACAGCGCCCAGGCCCAGAGTTCAGGCCCCACAAAAAAAAAAAAAAAAGCCAACTGGGGCTACATAGTGAGATCATGTCTCAAAACACCCAATAATAACCTAAAATACTAAAATAAAAATAAAAAGAGAACATGGACTATTATCTGCCTGGCTCTACAAAAAAGATTTCTTTTAGTCTGTAGTGTCATTAGTTGGTTACCTATGGTTTATACTGCAAGTTTGTTAATGTTTATTCAACAATAAAACAGGTACTTTTTGGTTTTGTATTGCTTTTCTATGTTCCAAGAGTACTTTTGGGGTTGAAAGGAGATTTAAAATTTTCTTCTAACAATCTGATAACAAGAATGAGAAGGCTGTGGAGAAAGAGGAACCCTATTACACTGCTGGTGGGAATGTACACTTATACAACCACTTTGGAAAGCAGTCTGGAGGGTCCTTAGAAAGCTAAAGATTGACCTCCCTTATGACCCAGTCATACCACTTCTAGGCATCTACCCTGAACAACAGGAACCAATATACAAGGACACGTGCACCTCCATGTTTATTGCAGCACTGTT